AGGAAGGAAGGAAGGAAGGAAGGAAGGAAGGAAGGAAGGAAGGAAGGAAGGAAGGAAGGATGTGTCGAGAAAAGTCATAAAATTGGGCGAAACTCACTTACAGTAACACATATCTCAGGTCAGCAACATAAATTTTGAACTCATTTTGTGATCCTAAGTTGAGAACTATTTGTAGTGCAAAATGGGAACCAAGTAATGTGTTCTCATAAAACGTTCTGCTTTTCCAAGGTGTTAGTGTAATAATAATTATTAGAAACAGACCTCGTTTTTTCTTATGGGATAATCCTGTTAATCTTTGAGCCTTGGATATCTTCTCTTCTTGGTTATCAAAGGATTGTGTTTTACAAAGAGGGATACATTCTAGTTTAGCAGGATGTCCGTTAACACTCCATGATGTTCCTTTGTCCTCTTTCTGTTTCTAATTTTGGGCCAAAGTAGCCACAGAAAGCTACATCCCAGCTAGCTGGACGTGTCTTCTGAACCAGCTGAATGCAAACACAAACTCAAACGTGCCAACACTTCATTTGTAACGTGGACGGTTGCCTTGATAATCCAAAGCAAAGCTATGAGATTGTATGCCTTGTTCGGTATGGCTCGCAAGAAACATGAGCTATTTCCCCCATCCTGTTTACATGCTCATTAAATATGAGCTGTGACCCAAAAGGATACGTGCTCTCATTTTTCAAAGCATAAACACCAGGATTTATATTTGCTTGACTATCTTCAGTTCTGAGACCATTCTTCATAGGCTCCTCAAGTGATAGATCCATAAGGGTCAGGGTTATAAAGTTTTGTTAATGTTGGATATTATGCTGTCACGAGAAAGTGTGAGGAACATGTTACAAAGCTGGAAAAAAGACAAAAGTGTTATTATCAGAAGCCTGGATTGTCAGTTTATAGCAATAGCACTTAGACTTACAGTATATACCACTTCACGGTGCTTTACAGCCCTCTCTAAGTGGTTTACAGAGTTAGTCTGTTGCCCCCAACAATCTGGGTCAGAATGCTTTCTTTCAGACCTCAGAAAGATGGAAGGCTGAGTCAACCTTGAGCTAGTCACGATCGAACTCCTGGCAGTGAGTAGAGTTAGTTCGCCTGCAATACTGCATTCTAACCATTGTGCTACCACATGTTAAAAACAATAACAATATCACTTAGACTTATATATCACTTCATAGTGCTTTTACAGCCCTCTCTAAGCAGTTTACAGAATCAGCCTATTGCCCCCAACATTCTGCATCCTCATTTTAACAACCTTGGAAGGGATGGAAGGCTGAGTCAATCTTGAGCTGGTCAGGATTGAACTGCTGGCAGTCAGCAGAGGTAGCCTGAAATACTGCATTCTAACCACTGCACCACCCCGGCTCAGTTTATGGATTGGGAACTATTATGACTTGATTTAACCAAAGTTTTAGAATCTAAACTATTCTTTCTTTTTGTTTTGCAGAACAATGCCCCGATAACAACAATGGCCATTTCATCTAAAAAGGTACTGAGAAAAAGAACCATTATAAAGCAGTTGCAATTTGGGGTTTATCCTTCCTTAAATGTATTTGGTACAAATATTTCAATTTCAGACCATGAGTTGAATCCAGAAGCAAGAATCACCATTAAGCAGTTACTGTTTGGGGTTTAAAATTCCTTAAATGTATTTGGTGCAAATATATCAATTAGAGCCTATGAGTTGAATCCTGAACCAGGGCACTGAACTTAAACCAAGTTATCAACATATGTCAACACTAACTTCTCTTGTTGATACAATATTGATTTAATTAACTCAGGCAGGGTGGTGACTTATTTTAGAAACACTATTTTGTTATTTTTCCCCCAAAAAAATATCATAATTATCAAGCTATGAAGTAGATTGGAGTGGAAAGTAAAGAATATGTTTTATGCCAAATGATAAGATCTGTACACAGACGGGTTTTGAAAGAGTATCACTCATGTCTAATACCACCCAACATTTTTTCTGCATCTGCTATGTGCCAATGGGGAGCGAGAGGGAGGGAGGGAGAGAGAGATGATGGATAGATGGATGGATGGAAGGATGGATGGAGAGAGAGAGAGATGATTAGATAGATAGATAGATAGATAGATAGATAGATAGATAGATAGAAGGGAGGGAGGGAGAAGAAGAGAGATGATAGATAGTCACATAGATGATGAATGGATGGATGGATGGATAGAGAGAGATGATAGATAGATAGATAGATAGATAGATAGATAGATAGATAGATAGATAGATAGATAGACAGATAGACGCCAGCAGGCAGGCAGGCAGATCAACATGATATTCTCTTGAAGGACTCTCCTGACAGATGAACCGCTAATCTCGAAGTTTTGAAAATTTTAAGATCATTCTCAAATATTTCCTAAAAGAGACGTGTCATACAATAATAACCAGAGAGTTCCCTGCATTCATTTTGGCATGAGAGATCCAGTTCTTGGCTTTGTGATCCTTTGAAGGGGTCAAAGAGGAGGGGGGCTGTTTTCCCTTTGCTGCGTTCAGGCTTGACATCTTCCTTCAGTTCCAGAACCTGGAATCCTAACTTCTCCCTTGTTTTTCCAACAGCAACAGTTGTACGTCAGCTCCGATGAAGGCGTTACCCAGGTGTCCTTACACCGTTGCCACATCTACGGGACGGCTTGTGCTGACTGCTGCCTGGCCAGAGACCCTTATTGTGCCTGGGATGGCAACTCCTGTTCCAGGTTCTATCCAACAGGCAAAAGGTAAAGGAGGATCAGCCAACAGATTAGATTGGCAGAAAGAAATACCATTGAATTGGATCAGTGGCAGAAACTCTGGGAAATACATTATAAATTGGCAATGGCAACTACATATAAGGAAAACTTACACAAAATGTTTTATAGATGGCACTTGCCACCTGCTAGATTAGCCAAAATGTTTTAAAACATGTTTACTAAATGTTGGGAATATAATCAAACTCCGGGTACATATTATCACATGTGGTAGATGTGTCCAAAAGCAAAAAAAAAAAAAAAGGTTTTGGATGAAAATGCATACATGGTTAGAAAAAAATTGTTAAAGCAGCATATATAGATTATAAACCAGAATTATTTATTGTTAGGCATGTTACCAGAGAATATGAAAAAGTGAATGTGTATTTAATGTTACATGTTTTGACAAGCAGCAAGAATTGTGTTTGTGCAATACTGGGAAAATGAGGAAACACCCACAGAAGAAGAAATAATAATTTAAAAAAATATTAGACTGTCCAAAAATGGACAGATGAACATTGAAGACAAGAGAAAAAGAAGACATCAAATAGTTTTGAACTTGGGACTTGTTTTATCAATGATTGGATAATAGAGGTAGAAATTAGGAGTTTAATATTGTCAGGGAAACAAATTCATTCAGACAGTACGCTGTTTACTAAACACTTATTGTATACAAAGAGACAGTCTCTCTATATAAAAGCGAAATACCACTCATGCATCATCACAAAATCTCCAGAACCATAAAGCCTACAAACTTGAAATTTGGCCTGTATGTTCCTCTTGGCTTCTAGGTGCTCACTAAGAAAGGATTTTTCAAAATGTCCATCAGAGCATTAGTATTTCCTCTATTATTATTATTATTATTATTATTATTATTATTATTATTATTATTATTATTATTATTATTATTATTATTATTCACGTGCTCTGATGCTAAGGAGTTCTACTCCCCCTCCCCACCTGAAGAGAAATCTCTTCCAAATGCAAAACACAAGCAGAGGAGTTTCAGTTTCACAGCAGCAAGCAGCTTTAGTACAGAACAGTTGAGCTAAGCCATGCCCAGGCTCCTTGCTGTGTCCTTCTTGCTCACACAGCAAATACTGTTTCAGTTTCCAAACACACTGACAGGACGCTAGCCAGATGAATACCGATGGATGCTGGTAGGCAGAGGCAGAATTTTTCCCCTTTATTTTCGTCCCCAAAACTAAGCCCAACCACATAGTTTTGTGGAGAAGCACAGGTATCGAGCTAGTATATAAATAAAATTTAAGAAAAGATTGGCAGTAAGGAAATACAATTGGGGTGTTAACATTTCGCTCACGTGGTTGCAATGTAATAGGAACAACTTTCACTACTTCTACATTTTTTGGAAAGAGTCAGATTGTTCATCTAGATGTTTTCCAGCAAGTATGGTCTGTCTTGAGAGATTTTTTTTTATTTTATTATTTTTTGAGAAAACAAGAGTTTGTTTCACTGTGTTCTTATTGTGAGTGTAATGCCGGGGATACTTGCTGTTCTGAAATATGATACTTGCCTGCTGCAAGTTTCAGAATTTTGCCAAAATGTGATCTGAACATTGAAAAATGTCTGCAAATTTCTGAATATCTTCCCGGTCTTCACAATAGAGCCCACCATCTCCTTTCAAGTAATATTTGGGCTTGCTCTGGTGGGAAAAAAGGAAACGCATAGATAATGAAGTCTGAGTTTTATATGTTTAGGAAATTAATTCCTTTATCTCGTTTTATATATATATATATAAGAGAGAGAGAGAGAGAGAGAGAGAGAGAGAGAGAGAGAGAGAGAGAGAGATTATCAGTAACCAGCCAAGTCTCAGAGTCTAGACACCAGTAGTAACTCCTTTGTGCAGACAATATTTTGTTGTCTCTTTTCTATGCCTGCAAAGTTTGGTTCCCAGAACATGACTGCAAGACGTTTGATCATTGTGGTGAAAAACCCATCTGCATGTTTGCCAAATATTTTTCATGTCATGGTAATGATGTACCGAATTTCCAAGCTCTTTTCTTCTGAAATGGATCTTTTCATTGTTTCTCTTCGACTTCTGAAAGACACCCAATAAAGCACTTGTTCTTCTCTGTGATCTCTTTCAACATTAGTGTTAAAAGACTTTAAAAGAAATTGCTCCAGAGAAATGTGTTTAGTTTAGTTTATTGTCATTGCACCTCTACAGTGAAATCAAACACCATCTTCAGTGCACATCATGACCATGAAAATAAACACAAACACACACCCTTCACACTCCATACATTGAACTGAAAACCCCTGACACCGCACCAACACAGCACTATACAGTAGAATGTTTTTGATGTCACAATACAAGCTCCACTCTTTCTAAATCTCTGATGTGACTTCGTGTTCAAATTTGCAAAGATTGGAGTTGTATCACAATCTGGGCCCTCATCTGAGCGACCTCAGCAGGATGGAAGGCTGTGTCAACCTTGAGCCGGTCAGGATCGAACTCCTGACAGTGGGCAGTGAGTTAGCCTTCAATACTGCATTCTGCAGGGATGTAGTACTAAGGACGCAGTGGCTCAGTGGCTAAGACGCTGAGCTTGTCGATCAGAAAGGAATCCCTAGCACCACATAATGGAGTGAGCTCCCGTTACTTGTCCCAGCTTCTGCCAACCTAGCAGTTTCTAAAGCACATAAAAATGCAAGTAGAAAAATAGGGACCCCTTTGGTGGGAAGGTAATAGCATTCCGTGCACCTTTGAAGGTGTTTAGTCATGCTGGCCACATGACCACGGAGATGTTTTTGGACAGCGCTGGCTCTTCGGCTTTGTAATAGAGATGAGCACCGCCCCCTAGAGTCGGGAATGACTAGCATGTATGTGCGAGGGGAACCTTTACCTTTTACCTTTACTACATTCTAACCACTATGTACTATGGCTCTGATGATGTTACCTAGTTGGGTCATGAAACAGCAAGAAAACCACCAAGCTCAGAGAGCATCAGTGACCCCCACAGTTCAACCTTGAGTTACAAATACTCCCTACTATCCGTACTTGGCTATTTGGTGAAAATTTTGCAGCTACCTAACTTTCCTTTCCTCTAAATGTTATAGGCGGAGTCGAAGGCAAGACGTGAGACATGGAAACCCCATGACTCAATGCCGAGGATTTAACCTCAAAGGTAGGTCGAACTAAAAGATGGCTGGGTTATGGAAAGAAATGGCCGTTGTTTTTTTTTCTGAGTGAATCATAGCGGCCATTTCATATGCTAGTGTTGTGGTCCGCTGGCAGCAGAGTCGAACAGCGAGGAAGTTGGGGAGGAACCTGGGCCAGTCTTGGAGGCTGAGGAAGGCTCGGACAAGGGCTCTGCATCAGAGGCAGAGATGGGGCCAGGACAGGCTGGCAGTCATCAGCTGTGTTCAGGCTTGGACAGCAGTGAGGCAGGGGAGCTTCTGGAACCGGTTCCCACCCTGCGCATGCATAGAGCTGCCAAAAGGAAGGCACAATTAAGAACTCAGGGTTGACATGGGAGTAAGGCCACAGGTGGACAATGAATGGCCCCTCCCGTCAGGATTAAAAGAGGAGCAAAAGGAGAGGGGGCTTCTGCAGAAAACAATTTGTTCATTCGTTCCAGCCTTGTGAAGATTTGTCTGTGTAACCTAGAGACTTTGTGCCCAGCCCTTCCACTGTGTGTGGAAATAGTTACCGGGCAGCGTTCCAAGATAGATAAGGTTTGAGCTAATAATATAATAATAATGCAAGACTGTGTGTCAGGCTGTTGGCTGAATGTGAATGTAATAAATTCACATTCATTTAATGAAAGAGGTTTTGCTGGGACACAGAGTTTTTGGGGAAGCTTAGGACAGAACAGCTAGTAAAAACAGTTGAGTATTCATAAATGTATCCCATTTTAACCTTCCCTTCATTTTAATTATGATCTCGGGAAGCCTTGGTCAGAACACACCATTGTTATGTGAATGTGGCTTCCCCCGTTGACTTTGCATGTCAGAAGGTCACAAAAGAGGATCACGTTAGAGCTTTGGGATATGGCAACCATCATAAATACATGCCAGTTGCCAAGTGTCTGAATTTGGATCCTACGATAATGAGGATGCAATGGTCATAAGTTGTGAAAATTGGTCATAAGTCACTTTTTTCAGTGCCACTGAAACTTCGAGCAGTCAAACAAATGGTTGGAGGTCAAGGATTGCCTGTAGTTTGGTTTTAATGTCCTATTTCTTACAAGGAAGGAAGGTTGACACAGCTTAAGCTTTTCCAAAATTCTGAAAAAGGTAGGATTTTTTTTTTTTGAAAATCAAAGCTCTAACATAGCCAAAACAAATACATTCAACAAATAAGAAGTTACTCACTTTTCCATTCTTTTATTTTTTTAAGGCTTAGACCTTTCCTTTCTTCCACCTTCCCTTAACTGGAAAACAATCATCTGTCTCACATTCCAGCACTTAAGATTATATAAGGCTGTTCCATTTTAAATAGAATGAGCAGTCTTTCCAAAAATAGATAGACCGTACCAGGTTTCCCACAAACAGCTTTTCTCGTGGTTAATTCGTTAAATTGCTTTTTGCTTTCCAGAATACCTTTCTATGAAAAGAAGATGAATTTATTTATGAATGTTTCATGGCTCATGCTGAGGACAGAATTTCATCTCTTGCCCTGAAACTTCAGACTGCTTTGGTGTGATTTCCTTCTTCTTTTTTCAAAAAGCAGCATGACAAATTCATGATCTGAAAATCTGCCTTATTTTGAATATTTTCAACTCATTGTGGGCAGTCAGCTGGATGGAAAGCAACAGAGTAGAGTAGCGTAGTGTAGCATAGAGTAGTGTGATTGGACACACAGGGAATTTGTCTTGGTGCAGATGCTCTCAGTGTACATAAAAGAAAAGATACATTTGTCAAGAGTCAAGAATCATAAGATACAACACTTAATAATAGTCATACGGTAGAAATAAGCAATCAAATCATACCAGGAAACAAATAATAAATTGTAAGGATACAAGGGACAAAGTTACAGTCTTACAGTAATAAATGGGAGGAGATGGATGAGAGGAACGATTGGAGGATTAATAGTAATAGTAATAGTAATAGTAATGCAGACTTAGTAAATAGTTTGACAGTGTTGAGGGAATTACATGTGCAGTGCTCTATAGCATCGTTTTGAGAGTAGGAGTTGAAACAGTTTATGTCCAGGATGCGAGGGGCCTGTAGATATTTTCACAGCCCTCTTTTTAACTCGTGCACTGTACAGGTCCTCAATGGAAGGCAGGTTGGTAGTAATTGTTTTTTCTGCAGTCCTAATTATCCTCTGAAGTCTGTGTCTGTCCTGTTGGGTTACAGAACCAAACCAGAGAGTTATAGAGGTGCAGATGACAGATTCAATAGTTCCTCTGTAGAACTGGATCAGCAGCTCCTTGGGCAGTTTGAGCTTTCTGAGTTGGTGCAGAAAGAACATTCTTTGTTGTGCTTTTTTGATGATGTTTTTGATGTTAGGTGTCCATTTTAGGTGTTGAGATATAAAATTTGAAAGTCTCCACTGTTGATACTGTGTTGTCTAGTATTGTAAGAGGTGGTAGTATGAGAGGGTTTCTCCTAAAGTCTACCACAATTTTTACGGTTTTGAGTGTGTTCAGTTCCAGATTGTTCTGATCATGCCACTGTACTGAATACTGTAGAGTAGAGTAGAGTAGAGTAGAGCAGAGTAGAGTAGAGTAGAGTAGCGTAGCATAGCGTAGCACAGCATAGCACAGCACAGCACAGCACAGCACAGCACAGCACAGCACAGCACAGAACAGCACAGCACAGAACAGAACAGAACAGAACAGAACAGAATAGAATAGAATAGAATAGAATAGAATAGAATAAGTTGGAAGGGACCTTGGAGGTCTTCTAGTCCAACTCTTTGCTCAGGCAGGAAACCTGATATGAACCTCTATAAAAATACATATATTTTTTCCTTTGGTACCCTAGAAGATTCTTTGTGCATGTAATTGTGAATGTGTTTTCTTTTTTTCAAAGCTACCAGCTACAAAATAATTAAATATGGAACTATTATTATTTTTAATCCTGCTGCATTTGAAGATTTTACAAAAAAAAAACACCTTCCTCTTTAAAAAGAAAAACACTCTGGGATATAGTGTTGTTGTTTTTTTGGCCAGTCATTCATTCTCTCAGACACACCCTGTGTCTCACAGGGCGGTTGCCAAGAAGAAAAAATAAAGATTAATCCCATGAAAGCTGCTTTGAGCTTCTGGAAAAGAAAGACAGGATGACAATAGCAAATTGATATAAGCAACGTCAGAGTTATAAAAATCCAGCATTGGCATTTTTATTTTATATGGGACTGGAGGATAAAACATATGAAGCACAGTTGCAGGAATTGTGGGTATGTCTAGTTTAATGAAAAGAATGACCAGGAGTGACATGATACCAGTCTTCCAATATCTCAGATGCTGCCACAAAGAAGAGGGAGTCAAGCTATTCTCCAAAGCACCAGAAGACAAAAGAAGAAACAATGGGTGGAAATTTAAACAAGGAGTAAAGCAGCCTAGAATTAAGGAGAAACTTCCTGTCAGTGAGAACAATTAATCAGTGGAACAACTTGCCTTTAGAAGTTATGGGTGCTCCATCACTGGAGGTTTTCAAGAAGAGATTGGACAACCAATCTTTGTCTGAAATAGCATAGGGTTTCCTGCTTGAGCAAGGGATTCAATTAGAAGACCTCCAAGCTTCCATCCAACTCTGTTATCCTGATAATTAAAAAAAAAAATGGCTTTCCTGTTCATTAGAACCTTGTAAAATCCACACCCTGGAAGATTACACACTTGGAAAAATCTTAGAAAAGGCAAAAGATCACAATCTTGGTGGGCTTAAAAGTAGACATTGACACAATGCACCAAACACTGCTATTATTGAAAAGGGAGGGAGTGAAAATCATTACATTGCTGAAAAAAATGGAGGCAGTCATAATATTGGCATTCCAAGACTTTGGAATTTAAAATAATGAATAGAATAGAAAAGAAAAGAATAGAATAATAGGATAGGATAGGATAGGATAGGATAGGATAGGATAGGACAGGACAGGACAGGACAGGACAGGACAGAACAGAACAGAATAACAGAGTTGTAAGGAACCTTGTAGAGATCTTTCTTTATCTTCTTCTTCTTCTTCTTCTTCTTCTTCTTCTCCTCCTCCTCCTCCTCCTCCTCCTCCTCCTCCTTCATTATCTATTCATGGCACAAATGTCACAATCTGGGTATATTCTTATGATTACAGTACTATCGGATAACTCTAAGTGCATCTAGGATAGTTAAATGTAGCATCATAGAGTATGCCCTGCCCCAAGTAATACAACTTTTTCTAACTGGTGAGTTAAAATTGTCTTCATTTTTATTACAAGTGCTATTCCAGTCTTATGGGGTGGCATCTATTGTACCAAACATCAGTGGCCTAACTATGGCTCTCAAAGTGTTGGTGATGTTGGTTTACCTTCCAGCTTATCGAAACGCTGCTGAAGTCATTCAGTATGGAGTCAAGAACAACACCACTTTCCTTGAGTGTACACCTAAATCTCCCCAAGCTTCTATTAAATGGCTTTTCCAAAAGGACAACGATCGAAGGAAAGAGGTGAGTGATCTTATTGAAAAGCAAGGAGAGGCAAAGTATTATCACCAGGACTGGGTCAACAGATCATAAAGCTATTGTTATTTTTACAAGGTACGTAATATAACAGAGCTAGCAGTGGGACTGGAATAACTTAACAAGTGCTCCTCCAGCTAGGTAGGCTGTCAAGCCTGAAATTGACATATTTGTAGCCATTTTAGTTAGGCTTAGTATATATTATTTTTCTTACTTTCTCTGGCAGTTATGGGGGAAGGGTTTCAGGTTCCTAAGAGGAAAGGAGTGGAGATAGAGAGACTTGTTTAGGCTAGGTGATTCTTCTTCCCGTGGGAAAATGAGCTGTCCATGCTCAGGACCCTTGAGATGGAGATTTATGACATCAAGCAATGTTGAATTACTTCTATTAGAGAATGTGACTTTTGGCAGTTGTTTCTAACTTCTAATATTGTAGGGTAATTCTGGGTTATGTCAGATCCGGAATTACCACGGACTTTGCCAATTTGATGCTTTCCTAAATAAAAGAAATTGTCTTGGAAGATGGACTTTGTTCTTTTCTTTTTAAATGGATTTCATCACTTGGAAACCTGACAAGGCGTGGTCATGTGACTGGGTGAATGACGTCACTCATCACACACAACCCCACCTCCCAGCCACTCAACTCAAAGGCAGAGGTAGGATTCAGCCGGTTGAGGATAATCCCACCACTGGCTGGCCCCACCCCCACCCATTTTTTAGCTTGTTTTCAGGTCATTTTGGGGCTTTTTTCAGGCCATTTTTTGGGCCAAAACAACCCAAAAAATGGCTGAAAACAGCCCAGAAAACTGCCCAGAAAACAGGCCAAAAAACAAGCAGGCACGGGGCCAGCCAGTGGTTCGCTGAACTGCACAGAATCCTAACTATCGGTTCATTCGAACCGGTGCGAACCGGCAGCAGCCCACTTCTGAACAGAATGTTCCTTAACTCACCTAGAATGCTCACAATTGTGATACCAAAATTAAAATTCTCCTAACTGCTTCAAAGTGTATGAGTGAAATAAGAATATAATCCAATGGAATGAAGGATCGGTCATAATCCAGCCATTTCTTTATGGACAGTGTCTTTAGGAGATGACCAGGCTGAGTCTGAGGGAAAGGTTCATGTAGTGAAACAGAACGAATCATATTTTTTTTAATTTTTAAATTGTTTCTATGTAAGCAAAGATATACTTTTATACTACTGATTATCAGCATCTGAATAACATCCAGATCACACATGTGAAAGGGAGCACTGCTTTCATTAATTTAAAGTTTTTTTTGTTTGTTTGTATCTTAGGCTAATAATTTATGGTAACAGTTGAATGACAAATTAAATACTTCTTCAAACTGTATCATAGAAGGGCCATCAGTGCAGGAAACGTAAAGCCTACAAACTTGAAATTGGGCATGTATCTTCCTCTTGGCTTCTAGGTGCTCGCTAAGAAAGGATTTTTTGAAATCACCATCAGAGCATTAGTATTTCCTATATTATTATTAACACACTCTGATGCTAAGGAGTTCTACTCCCCCTCCCCACCTGAAAAAAAGAAATATCTTCCAAATGCAAAACACAAGCAGAGGAGAGGAGTTTCAGTTTCACAGCACCAAGCAGCTTTAGTACAGAACAGTTGAGCTAAGCCATGCCCAGGCTCCTTGCTGTCTCCTTCTTGCTCACACAGCAAATACTCTTTCAGTTTCCAAAGAGCCTTCAACTCTCTCACACACTGACAGGACCTAGCCAGATGAATACCGATGGATGCTGGTAGGCAGAGGCAGAATTTTCCACCCTTATTTTCCTCCCCCAAAAATAAGCCCGACCACATAGTTTCGTAGCAAAGCACGGCTATCCAGCTAGTAATAAGATATATTAACTAAATGACGTATGAATTAAAAAAAACATTAACATTAAAAGTCTCTTAAACTTTTTAAACTTATATTTTGGACGGTCCCTAGGTGAAACTCAGTGAAAGAATCCTAGCCACTCAACAAGGGCTTCTAATCCGTTCAGTGCAGGAAGCCGACTGTGGGACGTACCACTGTATTGCCACGGAAAATGGCTTCAAGCAAACCATAGCCAAGGTGAGCTTCAAGGTTTTGGATTCAGACACCGTGGCCTTCATGATGGACAAGTGGTCTCCATGGACTTGGGCCAGTTCGCTCCACGCTTTGCAGTTCCATCCCAAGGACCTGGCTGGAACTTTCAGCCACTCCGAACTCCAGATGATCAATCAATATTGCAAAGACACGCGGCAATTGGGCCAACAGGCGGATGGTTCCTCCAAGATGAGAGGGGACTATGGCAAATTAAAGGCTCTTCTCAACAGCCGGAAAAGCAGGAACCGTAGGAACCAGTGGCCCGGATCCTAAAGGGCCCAGCTCTGTCCACAAACTTCTTCTTCATCACCACGGCCATCTTGTACACTCCCACAAGGAATTCATTTTTTTTCATCAGGTGGTTTTTTTCCCCTGCTGAGATTTGAGCAAAACGGCGACCAAGCCCACTCGGCAAAAGTTCAGGACACTCCAAACTCTCTAAGCTGGAATCAGACAACTTAAAGACCAAGTCCAAAGAAATGTCCATCGTGAAGTCACCTGTTGATCCCTCCTTGATCTATAAGCCTTCAGAGAGAGGGGTGTTGTGCCATGTTTCATGGCCATCTTTGTTGTTTCTAAAGGACGAAGCCCTTGAACGTCCAGCTTGGAATCATGGAAGGTTGGAAGGGAAGTGTGGGTTAGGACAAAGAGTGACTTGGAGTGGTCTCCATCTACATATACGGTTTTGTGTGTGTCTATGTGTGATTCTCTGTTTACGGTACGTTGCGTTGACGAAGGAGCACAGATTCCAAAGTCAATTTCCCATATTAATGTCCCAGAAAGGATCATGCTGATTAGGAATTATGGGGTTGGGAGTACATCACAATTAAAGGAGCCTCAGATTGGGGAAGGCTAATCTCACCATTGTTCGGGCATTTACCGTGTTTGGTTAGCGGAGATCAAAATTAATTCCATTTCCATTGCATATTTGTATAAAATGGAACCTAAAAAATGATGCCAACACCTAGTCCAAAACTACAGGTAGCCCTCAACTTACAACAATTTATTTAGTGACCGTTCAAAGTTACAACAGCACTGAAAAAAGTGGCTTATGACGGTTTTTCACTGTTATGACCTTTGCAGCTTTCTTGTAGTCATCTGATCAAAATTCAGATACTTGGCAACTGACCCATATCCCCTTTTGTGATCTTCTGACAAGCAAATCAACGGGGAAGCCTGATTCACTTAACAACCGGGTTGCTAACTTATCCACTGCAGTGATTCACTTAACAATGGCAGCAAGAAAGGCCGTAAAAGGGGGCAAAGCTCACTGAACAAATGTCTCATTTAACAGCATCAATAGTGGGCTTCCTTTGCGGTCATAAGTCGGGGACTCCCTGTATTAAATCCGGGGATCAAGTGAAGTAGAAAAGTAGCATGAGGATAAATATTTTCTGGAAGTTACAATCATTTATTTTATGAAACATCTCACCTGTAAATACCACAGTACACCCAGAACCCACAAGACATAGACATTATATCATTATATCAACAATTATATGTTGATAGATTTACAGTAGTAATTGGATCTAATTAGGAATTTGGAAATGTCCTAAACTGAACCCTAAAAAAAGTTAATGAAAGTCCCACTTGCAACCTTCATGAGATATACAGTGTAGCCTACATAATGGTGGGAAATCTATCAGTACAGTACAGATACGTATCCAAACAAATACAGATGGCTGCATGCCATCGTATCGACATCCTGTGTACTCATATAATCCATTCATGACATATGTTCATAAAGTGTGAATAAAACATAGACCTGTATCTTCAGTGGTACCAACAATGAAGTCTTCTCCCTTCACTTTGTTTGCTACTTTTTGCACTGAGAAGGTAGGTGAGAAAGGGCATTTATCTCAATTAGTTTTGGAATATTTTGCTTGTTTGGGAACATCATGGTAGATACCAAGCAAATTATCCAATTTTCCATGCTCCATGGGAAGAGTGAAGTTCAAGGGGAAAAACACATTGAAGCACAATTGGGACATCTATCACCAGTTCCCTCCAGTGTTGGTAGCAACGAAAAATCTGTACTTTTCAACTCTTACCGTGTTCTGATTTAGGCTCATGTTCAGTTTAATTCAATTCAGCTTGTGACTTCTTCTGAAGACCACTCAACAATAGGGCTATTTCTAAGAATACCTGCCTTTGATCAGTTTTTTTTAACCTAATTTATGTGTACAGACATTCCTTATTCATGGGTTTTTGACTTTTTAATAGGAGAATTGCATTGTAGGATTCAAAGGAGTACAAATAACGATGCTGGCCACATAAGGCAGAATATTCACTGGAGAAGCGTGAGTCAAATAGGAATGCAAATAATAATAATAATAATAATTGAATTAAGCCGCTTGATTCCTTGTCTCTACTCTGGCCTGAAAAGTTCAGAGTCAACCAGTTTTCTCCCCCTGAGGCTGACTCAAGAAGCAGCTATGCCAAAGCAGCCTCTGATATCCCTTTGGTCATGTGTGAATTGTACCTAAGCCATGTGGCTTTTTCAAGAACGTTTCATGTAAACTGAGAAGCAGCTAGCCAATCTGTGGTTGATCCCACCCTGGGTCAGTGTATGCTTTCTCCAGGACATTTCCCAAACAGATGTTCCACTTCCCACACAAATAACTCCCAGTTCTCATATGTACTGCATCACAAATTTTGCAATTTGCATTCACAAGCATACTTCAAGATGAACGCTTGCGTGACTCTTCCTTAAAACACTCCACCTCATTTCTCCTAACATTCACAGTGTTTTCAACCAGCCTGTGTAAGCATAAGTCGACTTTGCCTCCATTTTTAAATCTTTCTTGCAATGACTTCTAGTTATGGGAGGCAGTGTTTCTACTCTTCTAACCCTTCCCCTGGTCCTAAAGAAATGAATAAAGCTGCCAACTCTTCATCTGCTCTCTGTCGTGCTTCTCCAGTAATGTTTAATGAAGTGTCCACACAATTACTCAACACTCAGCCCAGTGTAGAGATATTTCTGTAAGCAAAATCAGTAGGGAGAGCGGACTGCATTGTAGCACGACGTATTTAATTTCAAGGCACAGCAGTTGCCCCTCTTCAAAGATACTCCTGGTAAATTTTATTCAAGCCTGACCTTCAAAAGAAGAAGATTGATTGCCAACTGGAATCCGTAATTGCTGTCCTCCTGCTCTTCTTGACTGATCCTACAATTGGAAGTCATGCTGGAAGTGGATTAAAGATCCTGATAAGGGTGTTTATTACAAAATCTAGGGGAGATGTTAGAGGTGGGGGAGGAAATTCCAGCAACTGTAAGCTCTACTAAAACCCAGCTCAAGATTAATTCTTGGTGGCCTCTTGCTCTGGATGGTTTAACAAACTTGACACGTTCTGCATTTGGTTGGGAAGAAGCATTCACCACCTGTCTCTTGTTAGTATAATATATCAGTCTGGTATCAAGCTGTTTCTTTCTGATCTTGCCAGAGTTAGCTTTCACAGTTACTTAACAGAAAATTGCTTTCCATATACCATAAATTCTTTCTACAAAGCAGGTACAAGTAAAGAAGCCAATAATTAGGTATAATGAGAGAAAGAGAGAATGAATTATGTTTCGTCCAGTCATGAAATTAGAACAGCCTTCCCCAGATGTTCTGGCTTTCAACTCCATGGAATTCTTCAACAGTCATTGGGATGCAAGAACTCAAATCCAACATGTCTTGTGGCTACTTTTGACTAATTTCAAATTAGTCTGTGGTATTATGGGACCACCATTAAGAAATTATAATACTAATCTAGTCTTCATAGACTAAAGCTACCACTTGGGTTCTTATTTGATCTTCCCATATAAATTATTTCTGAGCATGGCAATTTCCAGCTGTCATTCTCTCTCTCTCTCTCTCTCTCTCTCTCTCTCTCCTGTCTGTCTGTCTGTCTGTCTGTCTGTCTGTCTGTCTGTCTGTCTATCTATCTATCTATCTATCTATCTATCTATCTATCTATCTATCATCTATCTAATCTATCTAATCTATCTCCATCTATCATCTATTATTATTTATCTATATATTATCTATCATCTATCGTCTGTCTGTCTGTGTGTCTGTCTGTCTTCTATCTATCTATATCTACCTATCTTCCCTCTAGCTACTATCTAGCTACCATCTATCTATCATCTATATATCTGCTGTCTACTATCTATCTATCTATCTATCTATCTATCTATCTATCTATCTATCTATCTATCTATCATCTACCATCTATATAGCTATATAGCTATCTAGATAGCTATCTGTCTACCATCTACTATCTATCTTCTATCTATCATCCACTGTATCATCTAGCTAGCTATCATATATCTAGTCATCATCATCTATCACTTTCTGTTCACTTACCTTTCTCTAAATCACAAAAATGTATCAATTCCAGCCTCAGTGTCGAGTTTTCTAAGAGTGGGTACCCACAGTTTGGAGGGGAAAATATCTCTATGACTAGAATCTGACCACTTCCCCAGTTAAACATTAAGAGAAAGAAATGCACTGATGTCAGACTTTAATATTTAAAAATGAAAGCTGAAATTGTTTTATTTAAAAAAAAAACTTCTGGAATTCTGAAATTGGAAATGATGAGAGTGATTTATAGAGGATGGACTAGACAAGTATTCTTGAATTTGGATCCAACCTCTAAATTCATTGGGAAATCCTTACATAGCCTTCATACATAAGCCCAGGTTTCTAGGTGTGATGTTCTCCATATATATTGGGCTTCAGCTCCATTAACTCCAACCAGCAGATTCTCCAACTAGAATGATGAGCAACATCTGGAGAACCTCATTTTGTCAAAACCCACAATTTGTTAAAATTCTGCCCATTTAAAAGCCATCCTCATCTTGATACCCCAAAGATTTATGTTTATAATATCAGTTGTTGGGTTGGTTTGTATTTAATATCTTCCTATTTTAAGGATACCGAATAATGTACATAATTCTTTTTTAAAAAATAAATAAATAGGAAGAAACATCTTTTAGACCTGCATTTGACAAATGTAAAGAAGGTCAACTCTCTCTATATTTTTCCATCCGTGTGTACTAAATCTGTTTTGTGACCGTGTTTGTCATTTGTAAAGTTGGATTAATTTTTCGTCAACAATGCTTTATTTGGGATTGTCAGTCCTGTAGATACATGTATTTCATAAAAATTGTTTAATCATCTCTCTTATGCCAGATATGAATGTGTAAGGATATAGCATGATGAAGCCATGAAGGTGAATATGTGGTAGATTTTGAATTAAAAATAAAATAACAACACAGTAGTATTTAATTGGATACCCCAAACTATTATTTGCCTGAAAAATAATAATAAAGAGTATTGAAACCATTTTCTCATTTCGGTTGGTTGGATCGTTTTTGTATGCGTTATCTACTGCAGTCAATCTGTAAAGATGTGAACCCAAGGGTGATTTTTCAAAAGGAAACTGGACTCTGTTTTTCCATGAAGACATTTTGCTTCTCATCCAAGAAGCTTCTTCAATCAGAATAGAACTGGAAGGGACCTTGGAGGTCTTCTAGTCTAGCCTCCTGCTCAAGAAGGAGATCCTATACCATTTGAGACAAATGGCTGTCCAGTCCCTTCTTAAAAACCTCCAGTGATGAAGCACCTACAACTTCTAAAGGCAACTTCTGTTCCACTGGTTAATAATTCTTCCTATTAGGAAGTTTCTCCTTAATTCCAGGTTGCTTCTCTCCTTGCTTAGTTTCCATCCATTGCTTCTAGTCCTGCCTTCAGGGGCTTTGGAAAATAAGTTGACCTGTGGCAGTTTGTGGCAGTTCTGAAGAAGCTTCCTGGATGAAAAGTGAAACGACTTCAAGGACAAAACAAGTCTGGTTGTCTTTTGAAAAAAAAACACCCTTGGGACAACCATGACTGAGAATCTCCATAGACATAAAGATGCAAACATTTTTCATCTTCAATTACTTAGAATAAACCCAGCCCCATCCCAGTCCAGAAGAATGGCATGTAAGTCAGGCTAAAATAGAAATCTGAAACACATACTGCAGAAAACAGAACCTCCTTTC